GAGAGAGAGAGAGAGAGAGGGAGAGAGAGAGAGAAAGAGGAGAGACCTCCTCTTATTCCACTTCCCAGAGCTGTGGCAGTGAGGGAGGGGGCATTCCTTAGGATGGGCAGCGGTGTCTGTGGTCAAGTTCACCTCTGGCAACCCTGCCCAAGCGTCTTCTCACAGGTGCACACATTCAAGGCCTGACGAGGCCCCCAGCGGTGTTCCTGTGGGCCCTGGCTGGGACCGCCTGGAAGGGGCTCCATAGGGCAGTGGGACTGGGCCGGGTTGCCTGCGTTCTTCCCACCCCTCCCCTCCTCCAAGGGCAGCTTTTCTCCCCACACCCATTCGTCTCCCCTTTGCTTTCTAACTGCGGTGGGAAGCTAATCTGTCCAGAGCCTGCAACTTAGCCCAAGCAGAGGCGCGTGCCTGTGGTCCCAGCTGCTTGGGAGGCTGGGACAGGAGAATTGCCCGAGCCCAGGGGTGGAGGTGAGGCTGCAGTAAGCTAGGATTGCACCGGGGCACTCCAGCTGGGGCCACAGAGCAGGCCCCTGTCTGAAAAACAAGCCCGCTGCCCACCTCACCATTTGAACTGGGAATATTTTATCAGAGAGCATGTGGGCATGAAGCCACCATCCCACACAGATGGGGACAGATGGAAAATAGGCTCTGGACAGCTCCAAGCCCCTAGCCTGCCCACCCCTGCCAGGAGGCTCCAGTTGCTCTGGCGTTTCAGCGTCTTCTCCTGCAGCCTGGGCCAGTGCTTACGCCACACCTGGGAACAGCTGAGTGGTCAGCCTCACCGAGGGGCCACCCGCTGAGGACCCAGGCGCGAAGACTGCCACCTGCACTGACTACAGGCCTGTCGGCCGGGGCTGCGTCCATAATCCGGGTCAATGGCGTTATCATCATAACCTCCTCCTCGCACGATTCTAATAACTTCTTTTCCCACTTGTCCTTTGACCGGGCTGGGCTCCTCCCAGCGGAAAACAGCGGGTGTCCTGTTTGCAGGAGAAACGCACCCGGGATCCCTCCTCGCAGCAGCGGGGCCGGGCCGGCTGGGTCTTTTCTCTTCTCTTCTTCACACAGGCCCCTCTCCGCTGTTTCTGCAGAGACCAAGATGGGAGGGAGAAAGACCCTCCAGCCCCCTGCCCCCACCCTCCGCCGTCTCCCGGGCCCTGTGCTGCGGGCAAGATAATTTGGCTAATGAACTCGTTAAAGGGCCCCTGGTGACCCGCCCCGGCGTCCCCTCGGCCCATCTGGGAAATTCCACTGAAAGGCTGGAGAGCGCTCCTCTGTCCCGCCGCCGTCTGTCGCTGCTGGAGGCGCGAACCCTGTGACTCTGGGCCCTTTACATTAAAATAATTACCCGGCGGAACAGGTGGCTCAGTCCCGGAGCTTGGGAGCATCTGGGCCCCAGAGTCGCAGCCGAGGAGGAGGGGAGCGGCATGCCCCAGGTAGGCAAGGTCAGGCCCGCAGGCCAGGAGAACCCGGGGAGCCGGAGAGTAGAGAGGGGCTTTCCTAGGGATGGACGGTCCCAGGACACACAGGCCTCTGCGGCCTAGTGGGCCGGGGCCTGAGTAGGGAGGCCGCCGCCCCTAGGCGCAGGTAAGCGCAGCGCGCGCACCAATTGGGATGCACCTGGCTACCTGCTCTGCCACCAAGCTTGGGGCATGCGGGTGCCTGAGCAGAACCCCTAACTCGCCCGGGCTCCGAGGTTGAAGCAACTCCTAACATTGGCCTCCGAGCCAAGAGCTTGCTGGAGGGGCGCCTGCCATGCTGGTCCTCGGTGCTCACTGCCGGGCGCCACAGACTGCCGCGAGCGCGTGAGGAGTGTGCGCCCTGTGTGCGCGCGTGCCAGAACGCACGTGTAGGGCGGCTTCCTGTCCTCCTTTCCCGCCTGAGAAGCGTCCACGCGGAGTTCCAGGCCGGACGCTGGGGAAGGAGGTCCCCGGGAAGCTGCTAAAAAGAGAGCAGCCAGCCCAGGCGCGGGGCCAAGCCTATTGCCAAAAACATATTACCCTGCGACATTCTGTAAATGAGATAATGATCCATAAACCCGGATGATAGATGTGGCCTGCCTGCGATGTCTTCTCTAAATGAGCTGTTCGCATCGACTGCTAATAATGGTGAGTTTATGGAAGCGATTTCAGCGCAAACTGCGAGAGGGTCTTCTTACTCTAATCAGCCTGCCTGAGCTAATGGACGAGGGGGTCAGGCTGAGAGTTATTGACACGCCTGTGCCCTTAACCTGTTTCCCAATAAAGCTGATTAGTTTTTGTCAATTCATCAGCTAACCACTCTTGCTGGAACTGCATCAAAGCCTTATTTGCTCAGGGGAAATCAACAAGTCACAGATCAGCTCCATTAAGGGGCCCAGCCTGGCTAGGACAGTCCTGGAGCCCCGGGACGCCCCAAAGGACGCCTGGCCTCGCCCGAGCTGCCCAGAGCGGCTGAGAGCGTGGCCCCCCTTAACTCAGAACACCACGACCCGGATGCACATAACTGTGTCTGGAAACTTCTCTTTCTCTGCAGGCCGGGCAGCGCCGGTGCGGCTCAGCGCTATGGCTCCAAGGCTCAGGGCCCTGGCGTCTGGGCTCGGCCGGGGACAGTTTTCACGCGAGGCAGAGCCTAGCTGGAGGTCGCAGGGCGGTGGAGAGCGAGGACATGAGGGAGGGTGCTGGGAATGGTGCAGTGTCGGTGGCCACGCATCCCTCCGACGCGACCCCAGGGGAAGAGTGCAGGACCCTGGGACCCCGCCGGGGCTGCGCGGGCCTGAGCTTGGGGGTCGTGCAGAAGGGCACCAAACCCGCCCCAGCGCAGACCCCTACTTTGCTCGGTGACTTCGCACGCTCGTTGGAGGGAGCTGAGGGCGCCCGAATGCACCTGGGCTGAGGTTTTAGTAGCTGGCTCCACCTCCGTCTCAGGTGAGCCGCTGCAGGAAGGGCCCTCCCAGGCATCCCTCGGCTCCCGCTAGCAGAAGTGAGGCCCTCCGGAGCCGGCGGAGGTGACCCCTACGCCCTGGCTCATGGGCTGCAAAGGAAAATGTGCGCTGTCCCTTTAAGCCCCCGGCCACCGCCACCTCCCTGCCCCATCCCCCTTCAATTTAATTTCATTAAAACAGAGCATGAATATTTCTATTAAACCTAAAATGAAATATGAAGCCATTTAGACTCTGCCTGCACCAATCACCCAGATTTATGACTTTTATTCATCACATCAAGAGCTTGGAAAAATGAATTTTCTTCACCCAGGAAGGAAATAAAACCTCAGGCTTGGTCATTTCCAGAAAGCTGTTAATTTGACCATGTGGTAATTACTTTCACAATTAACTAAAATACAAATCAACTTGACAAATTGGGCTAGTTTATATATTAATTAGCCCCCTTAAATTTATTCATTATGAAAAGACAATTTAAGGGGACCTGTGGTGTCTGTTTTATTGCAATAAATTATTGTTAGGAAATGGGTCTAATAAAATATCTTAATATTTAAGGATATTGTATACGCGGGGGGTATGCTTTATTGACAATTTCATTTTCCAATTAGTAATTTTGTTGTAATATATCTGCGAACCGGGGACTCCCGGGCGGGGAGGCAGGATTCCCCGGCTGGGGCGGTCTGAGTAGCTGGGTCTGAGGCGCGGGCTAAGAAGAGTAAATTCTGCGGAAAGGGCCGCGTCCGATAGGAGCAAACGTTCGGTTCGTATAAGGAGCCACTCCAGGCGGCCACCGAACCCCTGCCCAGGACTCGGCACTCCCGGAGCCCTCCTCCCCACGCAGGCCGCGGGGGCTGATTTAATAGAATGTCGATAGAATCATTCGATGCCTTTTAGCTTGTGATCTTTATAAATGTCCCTCTATTAAATTAGAAAATGATTCTCTTCTCGTTTAATTGTATTCTTTCGTTTCTTATTTCCAATTAATTAGTCCTATCGACGTTGCAATATTTTAAGTGACTTGAGTCCGTTTCCAGTTAGAATATATGGGTCAGCACATGCAATTTTATACCCGACAGAACTATATAATGTGGGTTTTAACTACTCGTTTCTCATCTGTCTTAAACATCTGGCCAGGATGCACCACCCGGCCTCCTTGCAGCTCCTTCCTGGGGCAGGTGGGCACCTCGCTGGACCCTCCCGGGGGCTCCGGCAGGCGCCTCTCGCTGTCCAGGGCCAAGGTTCGGACGGCCGGTAGTGTCCGGCCTGGGCCTTTACTTGGAATTCTCTGTTTGGACTTGGTCCCAGCCCCTGGCTCCGGGATAAGAAGTCCCCGCAGAGGGGCCCAGCGCCGCGTCCCTGCCCCAGCACGTCGGTTCCACCCCTTCCTTTCTTGCTGCCCTACAAGACTTTAAAATCACTTTTTAAGAGACAGTGTCTCCTCTCCACCTCTTCTCCAGCGCGGGAGCAGCCCCTCGCCGAGGGGCGCACCTTTGCTTTTGGGGGCTGCACCCAGCCCCCCACCCCGCAGCGTCCCCCCCCCCCGTGGCCCGAGTTCGGCTTAAACGGGAGGGGGCTCCACCTTCCCTTAGTGAATTGACGAAGTAACGGATCCCTCCCAGGAGGATTTGTGGGGCTGCGCGTTGTGTCGGCGCCGCTGCCCGGCGTTGCCGCGACTCCCCCCCCAGCCCCGAGTTCGGCCCGCGGGAAGAGGGATGCGGGATGGGGACCGGGCCGCCCCTTCCTGCCGCGGGTGAGCGCGGTGTCCCGGATTCCACGTGGCGCTCGTCAGCCCGGGGTCTGCCGCGATGTCCCGTGACTCAGCCAGGCGTGGAGGCGTCGCCGTCCGGCCCGCTTGCCCGCTCCCTCGGGGCTGCCTCGCCCCGCGTTTTCCTGGCGGGGGATGGCGGCTACCCCTGTCCGCATCCCTGCCGGGCCCTGCCACCCCGGCTCCGGCCTTTTCCTCCGGGTTTCCTCCCGCCCGGGAGTTGGGAGCCCCTCGGCCTCGCCCTCCGTGACTGCGAACCGCGTGTGTTTCTAAGTGGCTGATCCTTCGAGGCCCGAGACTCCCAGAGTAAAAAGGGCTCCCCGGAACAGTAAGCGCGCTATCACCTTGGGGTTCTTCCCAGAGCAAAGAGACCCCCACCCCCGTTTCACCAAGACCTGCGTCCTAAAAGGTGGGAAGGTGAGATTCACTGGGAATCGTGAACCTGCCCCCGGGCCCTCCTGGGGCAGCTTCCCGTGGCCAGGGAAGGAGGGGGGAGCCCTTGCCTTCGACCCCTTCCTTCCTGGTCCTTAGCTTTGTTCTTTGCAGGCAGGGCTGGGGCTGGCTGTCTTGTGAAGAATTTGAGCGTTTTAAATCTGGACCTAGAGGCCAGGTCGGAAAGGGTAAGGAAGCTGTGCCTTGCCCAGGGTCCTGTGGCCCGACCAGGGCCTGACTCCTACTCGCATCCAGCGCCATTCAGAAATTGTGCCTCGGGGAGAATGCCTGCTGTTGCACAATGGCATTTTTTTGAGGGGAGAGGAGGATTTCAGGTCAAGTGAGGCTGGCAGCCATTCCTTCAGGGCCTCTGGCTAAGATGGGAGGGGAGGGGGAGAAGGCCAGCGACTCCTTAGAAATCTCCAACACTGCCATTCCCAGCAGGATCTCAGCAGCTGACTGTCTCCCCGCAGGCTCCCGAGTCCATCTGTGAGGGAAGTCCAACATTTGCTCATCTTCTCTTTCTGAATGTTAGCTAGGGTTGTCTACAGACAGGTTAAAGGGGAAGAGTCCTTGGCAGTTAAACAGCGCTAGACTGAAATCGGCAGAAATCTGCCCAGCCTCCCCCCAGCAGCCCCTGATTCACCCTGGGAAAGTGGTGGGCTTTCTTTCCATCTCCCAGCTCCATCTGAACGTGATCGGGGCCAGGGCCTAAGAGGCCAGCCAAAGGGTGACCAGCTAGACTTGCGGGTGTGAGCACTTGCTGAGGCCACACCTGCTGGGTTTGTGAGGCAGCCCCTCCCCCTGGTGTGAGTGACACTGGCCTGCACTTTTCTGATCTCAAGGCTCCAATGAGGCTATTTAACGTGGTCCAGGTCAGCAAGTGCTTTGTGTGAGGAGGATCACTTGAGCCTAGGGCCTCGAGATCAGTACCCCACTTGATACTGAAGGATAAGGAGGCAGTTTAACATGCGCTTTCTGTGCTCCTTGGAGGAGGAAAGTGTGCACATATGAAAAACCAGAGAACATCAGCAAATCCTGTACAACCGAGACAAGAGTGGGGAAGGAAGCAGTGCTCTGGGAAGTCAGACTTAACCTGCTGTTTCCATACGATGGGGTGTGTCATAGAACGTGCTTCCCAGAGCCCTTCAAAAGGAAAAGGACATTGGGATGCATAGAAAACAGCACCAGAATCTTCCATTTTTCTGTTCTATGTGACAGGACGATGTCCTGCTTCTGGCCCTCGTTTGCCATTTATTAACCACTATCATGTGCACAAAGATTTTATGCGTATCTCTCTCTCTCTCACACTTCCTTTCCATGCATTTGCTGGCAGACAGGTTATTCCGTGATCTGGCTGTTGTGAATCATGCTGTAATGACGATGAGAGCGCAGGTATTTCCTTGAGATATTGGCTTTGCTTCTTTGAGGCATATGCCCAGAAGTGGGTGGCTGGGTCGTACGGTAGCTCTCACCGCACATTTTTGGAGGCGCCTCCAAGCTGTTTTCCACAATGGCTGCACCACCAACAGTGTGCAGGGCTCCCCTTTCTCTCCACCCTCAGCACTGATCTCTTGTCTTTTGATAGCAGCCATGCTGACAGGTATGGAGTGCTGGCTTGTGGGTTTGATTTGCATTTCTCCAATGGTGAGTGATTTTGAACACCTTTTTGGGTACTTGTTGGTCTTTGTATGTCTCCTTTGGAAAAATGCATGTTCAGGCCCTTTATCCATTTTAACATCAGATTATTACTTTTTTTTTTTTTTTTTGTTTTTTAGATGTACAAGCTACTGATGTATTTTGGATATCAACCTTTTATCAGACATGCAGTTTGCAAATGCTTCCTCCCATTCCACAGGTTGTCTTTCCACTTTGGTGACCGCTTTCTTTGCGGTGCAAAAGCTTTCTAATGTGATGTAATTGCACTAGTTCATTTTCGCTTTTGTTTCCTGTGCTTTTGGTGTCTGATCCAAAAAATCATTGCCAAGACCACTCTCAGTGAGTTTTTCCTATATTTTCTTCTGGGAGTTTTACCTTTTCAGTTCTTACATTTAAGGCTTTGGTCCATTTCAAGTTAATTTTCGTGAGTGGTATAAGACAAGGGTCAAAGTTTATTCTTAGGCTTGTGTATATCTGTTCTCTAACACCATGTACTGAAGAGATAATTATTTCCCCATTGTGTATTCTTGGCATCCTTGTGAAATATTAGTTAACCCGAGCCAAGAATGATGGTACTATCCTATAATCCCAGCTACTTGGTAGGCTGAGGTGGGAGGATCACTTGAGCCTAGGAGTTTGAGATCAGACTAGGCGCTTTTGTGAGTCCCCATCTCTATAGAAAATAAAGTCGAAAATGTGTCAGTTAACCACATATGTGTGGCTTTACTTCTAGGCTCTAGATTCTGTTCCATTGGTCTATGTGTCTGTTTTTTATGCCAGAACCATGCTAATTTTTATTACGTAGGTTTACAATATAGTTTGAAATCAGAAAGTGGAATGCCTCCTGCTCTGTTCTTTCTCAAGAGTGTTTTGGCTGTTTGGGGTCTTTCGTGATTCCATATGAATTTTGGGATTTTTTTTTTTTTACTTATATAAAAAATGCCATTAGGATTTGACAGGGATTGCATTGAATTTATAGGTTGCTTTGGGTAGTACTGCCATTTTAACAATATTAATTCTTCTGATGCATGAACAATGAATGCCTTTCCACTTATTTGTAATCTTGTGTTAATTCTTTCATCAGTGTCTTATAGTTTTCAGGACACAGATCTTACCCCTCTTTGATTACATTTACATGGAAGTATTTTATTCTTTTCGATGCTATTATAAATGGAATCATTGTCTTAATTTCCTTTTCAGAGAGTTCATAATGTATAGAAAGGCCGCTGATTTATGTATGTTGACTTTGTGTCTGTCAACTTTACTGAGTTTGTTGATCAGTTCTAACAGTATTTTTTGTGGAGTCTTCAGGGTTTTCTATATATAAAATCATGTCATCTTCAAACAGAGACAATTTTACTTCCTCCTTTTCTATTTGATGCCTTCTATTTCTTTCTCTTGCCTAATTGCCCTGGCTAGGACTTCTGGGACAATGCTGAACAGAAGCCATGAGAGTGGAACTCCTTGTCTTCTTCCTGACATTAAAGGAAAAGCTTTCAGCTTTTCACCATTGAATACGATGCTGGCTGTGAACTTGTCACATATGGCCTTTACTGTATTGACGCACATTTCTTCTACCTAATTTGTTGAGAGTTTTTTTAATCATGAAAGGATTTTGAGTTTTGTCAAATCTTTTTTTTTTTTTTGCATCCAATGAGATGATCATATGGTTTTCATCCTTCATTCTGTTAACGTGGTATATTGTACTTACTGATGTGCAATATCAAAACATCCTTGCATCCCAGGGATAAACCCCACTTGATTATGGGGAATAATCCTTTTGAAATGCTGTTGAATTCAGTTTACTAGTGTTTTGTTGAGGATTTTTGCATCCATGTTCATCAGGGATATCGGTCTGTCATTTTCTCTTCTAGCTGTGTCTTTATCTGGCTTGGAGGTCAGCAACATAGTAGTCTTGTAAAATGAGATGGAAAGTGGTCCCTACAAGAGAGATGTTGTTAAGATCTTTGAAACTGCCTCCTCTGGCTTCATCTCATGATGGATCCCAGAAAGGGGCAGAGGGGAAGTGGCGCCAGCCTTCACACTCCCCTGTGAGAACATCTGACCTGGGTGTGTGCAAGG